TCTGAGTAAAAATCCAAATGGAGGGTAGTCTATTTATAGATGTTAAGGTGGCTTTTCGTTTTGAATTGAACAGGTATGAAACTGTTAGATTCAAATTTAAACAGATTTGAATCTGTTTATTCAAACAGATAGAAACGGGAAGGGCCCTGTTTGGATGAACAATAAATCCAAAACTGTTTAATTCTGGTTGAAAACGGAAGGGCTCTGTTTGGATGAGCACTAAATCCAAAACAGTTTAATTCTGTTTGAAAACGGGAAGGGCCCTGTTTGGATAAACAATAAATCCAAACCAGGTTATTGAATTCTGAATTTTATTTTAATAAAAAATAAATAAATTCAAATGTTTTTGGCCAAAAAGATTAGAAGCCCAACCCAACCACACACCACGCACCCGCGCCCAAGCCCAGCCCGCCCGGACGGACGGCGGCGCGCGCGTGGTGATTTTTGGGTCCAATGGTCTCTAGCCCATTTTGCTCATAACCTCTCCCTCTAAAACACTTGGGTACTCCTTGGGGCACACCCCAAGTATCTCACCCTAAGCCTTATAAACCCTTTCAAAACTTCCCACCAAATCAATGTGGGACAAGCCAATTTACAACCTTAAGGAATTTCCACCAAAACTCCATTTTCATGGAGCACACTTTGGCTTCAATTTCCCATTCACTCGGTAATGGTTTTGAGCAACCAAATATACCACGTGAATCACAACGCGGCATAGAACGCGTTACCACTTTGACCCGAGTAAATCGACACTCGGGGCCCACCTAAAAAATAGACCGAACTTAGGAAAAAATTCTGGTTTTATCCAGAATTTTATAACCATTTCCAACAGTAAGTTCATGTGTAAATATTATTAAAAAAAAATCAATTAAATTGATAATCATTATTGTATGATTTCATATTCTTTGATTTGCAATATATTTTCAAACTCATATGATTTTTTTTAATGGTAAATTAAATGAGTACAACTATTTAATTTTTAAAAAAAAAATTCACTAAATATCCTATTTATGGACCTAAAAGATTAACATACTGGGACATCAAGCCCAGCTCAAAAAAAAAAAAAAAAAAAAAAAAAAAAAAAAAAAAAAAAAGGTGTACCGTCCTAGCTAGAAGGTAGAAGCAAGATTGCTGGAAAGTTCAAATAAACAAGATTGTTGATTGTACGGGAAAGAAATAAATCTTCTCGTATAATCCTGTTGATCAAGTCTGTGCTCCTCCAAACGTCGTCGCTTTACTCCCTAAAAACACAAACGGGAGCTAGCCGGCGGGTGTGTGCCGGATACCTCTCCGATGCCTAAGTAAGCAAAATAGACAAAGACAAAAAGCTCTATGTATTTGAGAATCAAAATTGTGTATTACCTTTCTATAGGTGATGTTTGTGAGCTTTTATAGGTTCCATGTGGCACAATCCTAGTAGGACTCTTACTCCTCCATGTAGAGTCCTCCTTGGATTCATACTCCTGAAAGATAATGCTTATCCTTCAACACCCTCCTCACTGCTTAAACCAAGTGAGATGGTTTTTCCATAGTCGGACTCCAATATGACCGAGGTAAGTATAGCTATGCTAAGCCACAGACTAGACCGAGATAACTCTACTTCGGTTCTTCCATTCACTGCTACCACGGTTTTCCCAATGCTGACCATAGTATTGTTAAGTCCGTGCTAACCATTAGCTAGGTCCGACAGAGCTAGCTGCGCTATGCCGCGACCGGACTAACTTTGAGTGTGGCATTCTGGCGACCGAGCAATCCGTAGTGCTCTCCTGGACCGAGATAACAATAAGCTTTTTGGGTCTAGATTAACTTTAGGGCCGTCTGGGACCGGACTATCTTCAAGGCTCTGGGACCGGACTAATCTGCAGGGCCTTTTTACTCTGCCCCCCATATTGAGGCCCATAACGGCCCATTGCCTAGCTCGGCCCAATTTATAAATATAAATTACCCTCTCAAGCTCAATATTGAATTTGGAAATAGAAATTTAGCAACATTACTAAATTCAATTATGAAAAACATGACCACTTATGCCGTATTTTATTTGGAGTAAATAATTTAGTCAATCTTTTTTGTAGTACTTCTCACATTGAGTGGCATTGAAAATTACCAATCAAATTCTCAATTGCTCATAAGATGAAAAATTATTTATGAAGACGTTGGACTGATCAAATTCAACATGCCCTCAAGACCTCAAGGATATTGCTCACTACAACAAAAACACATTTTAATGACACCATACTAGTGGCATGTTCTTAAAAAATGTCACAAAAACAATATTTGGTGGCATTTTTAAGAAAAATGTCATAGAACCACAAACATACAAGGCTCTAGTGACATTTCAATTAAAAAAAGTGTCACTTTACTACAACAAAAATGTCACTACAACAAATTTACACTTTAGTGACACTACACTGGTGGCATGTTTTTAGAAAATGCCACAAAAATAAAAATTGGCATTAAATGTTTTAGAAAAATGCCATAGAACCACAAATATATAAGGCTCTAGTAGCATTTCAATAAAAAAATGTCACATCAATTTTATGGCATTTTATAAAATAATGACACAAAAAATTATGTTCGTGACATTTACCAACAGATGCCACTAAACTTTAGTAGCAATGGCATTTTTTAAAAAACGTCAGGACACTAGGTAGGTGCAGATTACTTTTTTATGGCACTTAGGTGAAAAGTGTCATAAACAAATATTTTATAGCATTTTGAGAAATGCCACTAAGCCAAAAACTTTCCAAGCTTATAATGACATTTTTGAAAAAACAAAAAATGCCAATATATTTTCTAAATTTTTAAAATGCAGTAAATGATTAAAAATAAATAAATTAAACTCCATATACACTACAGGAAAAAGCACATTCGACGACTAAATTTTCTGACCAAAAAAAATTTGGTCGCTGAAAGTATAGCTTTCAGCGACCAAAACAGCATTAGTAGCCAAAAGTCTACAATTGGCGACTAACACTAAGTTTGGTCGCTGATTATATGGGTTTTGGTGACTAAAAAATTTTTAGTAGCTCAAAGTAAAGCTTTTTGGTGACTGAAAAAATTTAGTAGCCAAAAGTTTACAATTGGCGACTAAAAATAAGTTTGGTCACTGATTATATGGGTTTTACAGACTAAAAAAATTTTAGTAGCCAAAAGTAAAGCTTTTTGGTGACTAAAAAAATCTTAGTAGCCAAAATTCTACAATTGGCGACTTAAAAATAAGTTTAGTTGCCAAAAGTGGTTATTTTTAGCGCAGGAGAACTAAAATCCTAAGGCAGGAATTAAATTTTTTGGCGACCAAAATTTTGGTAACTGAAAGTGCATTTTCGGCGACCAAATCAGATTTTGGTCGGCAAAAGTTAAGTTTTTTAGCAACTAAAAAATAATTAGTAGCCAAAAGTATAAAATTGGCGACTAAAAAATATTTTTAGTCCAAAAGTGGTCTTTTTTTATTTTGCTAGTAAATAGTTTATTTTACATGAATTATGTTTAATAAAATAATTATGTTTATACATATACTTTTATATTAATATAGATATATGTACTATATAAATAATATATGTTGAATATATAATCATGTGGTTCTATAGAGGTGTAGTGGGAAGAGTGGTGTATAAGGTTTATGGTGCGGGAGGTTGGCGGTTCGAGTCTCCGCAAGAGCGGATCAAATTGTTCTACAATGAATAATCATCACGAATGGCACTGATAGCGTCACGAGTAGTGCCTACCATGACATTAAAGTGTCACTGAAAGATTTTAGTCTTGATGGTGTAATGACAATTATAAATGTCACTAACTCTTTTTTTAATGGCACTTGATAGTACCACAAATAATATCTACCACGACATCAAAATGCCATTGAAAGTTTTTAGCCATGATGGTGTAGTGGCACTTGCAAGTATCTACCGTGGCACTTGTTCAAAATGCCACAAAACTAAAAAATGTCATTAAACCAATAGTTTTGTGGCACTTTTAAATGTCACTAAACTAAGAAAATATTGTAGTGACTGGTGGAATTAAATGCAAACTATTTATAGAATAATCAAACTTATTAAAAATAAGAACAAACTATCACAAAACTCATAGACAACTCAAGTGCATGAATCGATAGTAAATACAAATAGAATTTTATTGAGTTTATGTTACACTATAAACTCACAAATTATATCAACAAACTCTCTATCCTTAACCAAGGAAGGAACAAGATTTAATCAATACACTGACTCAACAAACAAAAATGAAACTTCTCTATCACTTATTCACGTATGATCATAGATTTTGTCTTTAATTTTTTTATTTTTCTATCTCAATACATTCTTAATTATTGAATTACGTAAAAATTTCAGAAAACCTGAATTTACAAAAACATGATTCAATGATAGGGAGTATATTATCTAATTTCATTAGACAAGGCATAACCAATTATCAGTCGATGCACTACAAGAAATTGCACTACAAGAAATTGCACTTTTGACGACTAAATTTTTAGTCACCAAAAATCAAAATTTTAGTCGCCAAAAAGATTTCTCGACTAAATGGTTTGGTCGCCAGCTTGGTCGTGGGAAGATTGTTGGGGAAGGTATTGGTGACTAAAAAATTAGTAGCCAAAAGGAAAGGTATTGGCGACCAATTTTTTTTAGTCGCCAAAAGTCAACAATTGGCGACTGAAAATTTAGTTGCCCAAAATTTCCAATAAATGTGATTTCTTGTTTTAGTGACTAAAATATTTAGTCGCTAAAAACGTCGCAATCCTTTTTGGCTACCAACTTTTTAGTCGCTAAAATAATAGTGCTCCTTTTCAGCTACTAATATTTTAGTCACAAAAAACTTTCATTTTTTTTAGCTACTAACTATTTAGTCGCCAACAAATTCCCTTCTTATTTTTTGGCTACTAAATGTTTAGTCACCAAAAGCCCTATTTATCAATGCAACTTATAAACTGTACATATACAGAATAATACATCTATCAATTATCATCTAAATCCATTATCAATAATACTCATTTCATTATCAACTATCAAAAAACTTTAACTTGTAACATCATATTCCAAATATCATATAAACCCACACCAACCAAGTGTAATCCATCTAAATTAAATATTACATACAAAAACATTGGATTTCCAAAAAAAATTGACATTTCAAATTATAACAATTATAAAAAGAAAACAGAATATAATCCATCTGTTGGATTGAGTTATTGGCAATGAGATTTGATAAATTTTCAGTACTTGATGTAGTTTCTTGTGCACTATCTGTTGTAGTATCAATTGTCAGTTCACTAGAAGATGCTAGTGTGGGAACGAAAAATTTTGGATTACCACCACTAGCAGGTTTGATGAATGGATGGAACTCAAGGTGACTGGAATAAGTTTGTTTGATTCCTAGCCTCTTTGTTGAAAGTGTCAACATACCTGTCAAAACATTGCATGCAAAAATGTCAATAACTTTGATAATTAAAAGGAACCAATTTTTTGTTTTTAAAAAACATGCAAGGGCCACAGATTGAGAACCCTATAGAGTTATGCAGCCCACTCTGCCATCAATCGTACCCACCCAGAATGGAAGGATACATTTTTCTCTTCTCAACAAATAACCCTTCAAACATGATGAAAATTTCATTCGGTTCACAATTTTGCCAAACTAACATGCACAATAAGAACCTTTCTGAAACCATCTACTTCTCAACAACCAAAAAACTACACAATCTAATTTGCAACAACCAAAAAACTATATAGTTCATAATTGGCCAAAGACTAAACTAACATATAAATCCTAGGCCTAGTCAAAAAAATGGCTGGCCTGATTTCAGAGTTTTGTGATAGGCCCCTAAGAATATAGTTGATAATTGGCCAAAAAGACAATATTACCAAATCTTATTATAAATGACATAATCAAATTATCCATGCATGTCTTTGAATGGAATGTTTACCGTGTATCTTGAAGTTCTGAACATTGTAAGATAATAATAAGCAGCTGGCTATCGAGGCTTGAGTTTTGACAAAGTTACACTACAAATTAAACATCATGATGAATATACCAACTTATGAGAAAAATAGTTGTACGAAGACATAGACAAGTTGGTTTTAGGGGTGGAGGGGTGGAGGGAACAATCTATCTGGTAAATCAACAAAACAATTGTAACTTTTATTTATTGGGAACCATTTAAATACATGTTCATCACTAATTGAGATGAATATTACCCACCAAAAATAAATAAATAAATTGATATGAAATGAAGCTACACATACAGAATTATAGATGTTCTTGTGAATGATGAGTTGAAAAGGACATGTGCACCAGACTACCTAATGCAATAGAAAAGGATAAAAGTCAAGCTAAGTATGCAACTCGGGACAACACAAAGGGATCTGTGTTCTTCAAGTGGTTACAGAGATTTACTATGACAGCACATTGAGCATCTTGTGCATACATTTAGGCACCAGAAATGAAATTATCATGTGACGCCAATACACAATTTAATAAAACACTTTTTGCCATGACAACACCTTTTTCATACTCAATAATTTAATATTGAAACATGAGAAGATAATTGGGGTAATAGTCTTGGAGTCTAAAGTTTCATGCGCAATCTTTAATTCACATGTATCTGGCTAAGGTACTTTTAAAATGCATTAAAGGATCCAGAAAGAATCAATAAATCCACTTCATTGACATGAATATCAAAAGGTATTCACCAGTTCATGAACTCCATTCCCCTAGCTGCAAGTTCTTCCTTTGTCTCTTTTATATTGGCTTTCCATAATAAACCATCGTCACTTTCTATCTAACAAAGTCAAAAGGTATTATGAATGTAATAGGACCATGCTTCAATATGTTCAATTGATAGTAATGATAGCATTGCAAACAAATGTTTAGTACCACTTTACGTAAGCATTACTAATATCAAAATACTTGCCAGTGAAAAATCCACCGTTGGAAAAAGGCATTGATAGTCACTGATGCTTCTCCTCCTATCACAAGGATGAACACCCTACAAAATTATTTTAACCAGGTTATAAATCTTTTTTTCATTTTATTTTATTTTTGGGTAAAAAGAAGCACACCAGATATTACATGCCAAGATTAGCAAGAGTTCTAGAAGCTTCAGTTTTAACCTTATAGAGTTAATAACTATGGACACCGAACTACCCCAATAGCAAGAAAAATTAGGGGTTGCTAACAACTACCCAATTAAAGGCTAAGCGATATATTTAAATTGTGAGTTTACATATTATAAACCCAACATAGTATGCTACTTGTTTTCTACAGCAACTCTTAATGTTCTATTATTCTGACAGGCGTTACCTTCTGCTTGACATGTGTACTAACCATGTGGAAGGCAATTGGACAAGTGTTACCTTCGGCTGAAATTTGGGTTTTTGTCATTGGACAAGAGAGGGAGATGTTGTGGAGATCCATTATTCACTATCATCAGTTATTCTATTCAAAGGCAGTTGAGATTGTAGAGGACATTTGAAGAGTTCTGCTTAAAGAAAAGGTTCTTGTTTATGGCTTATGATATATATATATATATATAACAACATTGGAGGTTGTAGCCTTGGGAAGGGAGAGCTTTGCCTAGATTAAACCATTTATATATTTGCATGAATGGATGGAAGATTTTAATTAAGCTGATTTTTGTTGAAATACATAGGAAAGATTTATAGGTATTCAGAGCATACTTGGTTCATTATATGGCATAACAAATAAAGCATATTAAAAAAAAGAAGTTGTGCTTGTCTATTGGCACACTTGTATATCTACCCAGTGTCATTCAAGAAGGGAAAAAAACAGAGCCTGAGCATCAACAACTAAAATTTCCTCTCATCAACTGTATAACTCTGAAGCAATAGAAGGGGAAAAAACAGAGCATGAATATATATAATCTATATCAATCTATACTCCTTAGAGGAAGAACTGCAAGCATATATAATCTATATCAGTATATTCCTAAAATTTTCTATTAACTTACCTACTAATAATATTCTTAAATTGTTTAGTACCTTAAATCAATTGCTATCTACCTAATAATACTATATATATACACATATAACTCTACTCAGCAATTCAAGCAGTTCTTCACGATTGCTTAAATAGAGCAACAAAAGTTTGGAATTAAACACAGCTTGGAGCTCATATGTGCTTCAAATGTAGAAAAAGAATAAATCCCTAAAATGATTTTATCAAAATCCTATAGCATCAAAAATAAAATAAAACCCTAAATCCGAGATGGTGAAATGGAGAGAGAGAGAGAGAGAGAGAGAGAGAGAGAGATAGATAGATAGATAGATAGATAGATAGAAAGAGAGAAAAACCTGAATGTGGTTGGGAGGGGGGCCGCGATGGTGAGTGACGGTGACGAGAGCCGCGATGGTCAGCGGCAGTAGCGTGAGCCGCGATGGTCGGTGGTGGAAGTTCGATGGTAATTGTTAGCAAAGATGGTGAGTCGAGATGGTGAGTGGGGGTGAGGGTTGCTAGTGCTCGAGACAGAAGTGTATATTGTGTGTGTGTGTGAGAGAGACAGAACAGAGTGTAAATATATCAGGCGCCAAAAATAATTTGTTTCCCTGTAAAACAAATATTACAACCTTTCGCGACTAAATATATTTTTGGTCGCCAAATAACAATAAAATTCTTTTTTGGCGACTAAAATTTTTTTTGTCGCTGAAAATAAACTTTTGGTGACTAAAATTTTAGTCACCAAAAGGTAAAAAAATAATTTTTTATTTTTCATTCGGCAACTAAATGGTTTAGTAGCCAAAACTCAATATACGGCGACTAAAATTCTTTTTTGTAGTTGAAAATAAACTTTGGTCGCCAAAGGTAAAAAAATAACTTTTTATTTTCCATTCGGTGACAAAATAATTTTAGTAGCCAAAACTCAATATACAGCGATTCTAGCATTTTTAGCAACTAAAATTTTTTTTAGTTGCCAAAAAACAATATACCCCCAACTAAAAAAAAATAGTAGCTAAATATTTTACTTTTGGCGACTAAAAAAATTAGTTGGTCGCCAATCCCACAACTTTTAGCGACTAAATTTTTTTTAGTTGCCAATTTTAGTCGCCGAATGTGCATTTTGTTGTAGCGACGGTTAGATGAGTTTACCTTGTCAACAATGTGAACTGTTGAAATGTGATAAAAATATAAAAAATGTGAATTTGTTGAAAGATCTCAATTCAACCAGTTGATTAATATGGTTCATAAATAAATTTGTTGGTTAAACCAAAAGGGTTGGTTTATAAGCAAGGTTTTGGAGTCTTTTGAACTGTATATTCACAAATGATTAATTTTATGAAAAAAAAAAATTTATTAAATCTATGTACATACGTGTACAACTTTCCAGGCATATTAATTATCAAAATATGTAAACTTGTTCAAAATCTATATATATATATAAACCTTTTAAAGCAGCCAATCTCAGTCCTAACAAACATATATATTTTTCAGAAAAAATTTATCGGGTTGATTAGTAGGACAAACATCCCGTTAACTAAGGTAGATATGTTCTGAAATATTTTATACCAATTCCCAAAGTTCTCAGCCAAACCAATGCGAATCTTGCTTCCCTAGGGGATTTGGAATTTACAGTAATAAATTAGTTACCCGACAGGCCAAAGTGATAAGATTTGACACTCTCGTTGTGCAGGCCAAAGCTTCTCTTATGCTTAGGTTGACACACTAATGAAGAATCAGAGAACTAACTTCTCGTTACATTGGAGATTAGGCACGATGTGTTTGAAATTGCGATCACTTAAACCTAGCCATGATGATAATCCAATTTCTCTATTTCTGGCTCATTTATTTAAGCCTTATTGAGAAGATTTTAAAGAAGTTTATCTGTACTCTTATGGTTCTTAGTAACTTTTGTGTCGTGTAAAATACATCTCAGGTCTGTAGTTGACCTATGTTGGTCCTAAGTTGAGTACCTCTCATCACGGGAGTATCAATGTGTTCATTTTTGTTTTTAAAATTAAGTTGATTTTGATATGCATGAATTAATTGAAGAAAAATAGATCTATACAGTTGACCCCAAAGTAATTGAGACAGAGTTGTTGATGAGTTGATATTGATGTTGCTATGTTCTGCCAAGGATTTGTATTAGGATACAACTAATTTTGTATTACAACTGCCCACTGTCCCCTAAACAGTCATTAATTAAAGGTTTAAGCATGATGATATCACCTTTATGAACTTTTAATCAAAAGATAAGTTCGCTTGTGGATGTACCGAGTAAATGTCTGGTTTAGTGCATAGAGATACCATCTAAAAACATATATTGGAGGAGAAAAGTACATGGTATAACTTGACTAGTTGAAAACAAAGTTATATATTATATATGTGGGAAATCAAATTCTAAGAAACAATCACTATTCAACCAGCTAAATGTAAAATTAGCATAGTTTTATAGAGGTTTATTTGTTTCTATTTCGTGCAGGTAATAAAGCAATGTAAGTCATACCCAGTGCACGACACTACTCACTTCAATGAGTTGACCCCACAATTATAAACAAAACCTCTACCTAATTTTTTAAGTGACTGGTATCGACAAAGAATATGTAATTGTGAGAGCCGAATCAAGCTAAGAAACTCCATGAACTTGACAAATGGAACTACACATGTTCTAAAAACAATTTCAATTAAGAACATGAACTTAGTTTGCTTTCAGAGATATAACAAGTTAACAAACACTAAACAAATAGAGGATGCCTACGAAACTATGATAAGTGAGTACAACAACTCTACAGCGTCAGCCTACAACACAGGATTCTGATAACGCGCCTTCAATATGCCCTTTCTTTGTGAGGTTCAGACAGGTAAATCAATATATGAGATCCTAGTTGATGTTTTCTTCATCCTCAAAGCTCAAGTTCAATGTTTGTAGTTTGAAGCCCAAACCTTGTATGATCTCAACCAAATTGGAGGCCACCCCTGTAGCTTGTACTGTCGTCTCTTTTGTTAGTTGGGAAAGCATACAGATGGACAAAGCATACCATCAATTTGAGAAAATATTCGAAATTTTAAGAACAGAAGCACATCTTAATTGTATAAGTAATGCACTTGTAGATAGATTTCAGCTAACAAAAAGTTGACACACGGTGGTAAATGTGAGGCAAACATTGCGGCTAGAATCCATGAACGATTTAGGACTGCAAGCTCATCAGATAGTTTATGTTTAAAGCCATTGCAACTCAAGGACTAGGAACATTTTGTTTACATTTTTGGGTGCAAGTTCAACTTAAAGTGATTACCTAGAGAGAAGTAACACTCCATTTATGAGGTGTAAGATGCAACAAGTTGTTTATACCCACCTCAACACTTGCAATACCCTCAACATCTTGAACTTTTAAATTGGCAATGCCTCCTGTTTCCTACAAAAATTTTAAAAAATGAAAGGAAATTGAAAAGGTTAGAATTTAGAAAGGCAAAACTCCAGGCATGATGAAACCTTCACTTTATCATGAAGAAAAAAACCATTGTCAATAATCAATATAGAATATTCTTGCATCCCATTAGTCAAATCCAAATATCGAGGGCAACATTCACAAGTTTAATCCATGAATAGAAACAAATTCATTTGTAGAACAATTCAATGAGGATAGATGGATCTATTTCTAAAGCATTGGTCACTGTAGGAATAGCTGCTTTAAATTGGAATTTTCTCCTTCAGATGCTAGTAAACTTTGGTTTTGGAGCAAAATGGTTGGGGTGGATCAAGGAATGCATTGCCTTATCTAGAGTTTCTGTACTTGTGAATGGGTTTCCATCTGATGAGTTTTGTCCGAAGAGAGGATTAAGGCAAGGTGATCCACTCTCACCCCTCTTGTTTAATGTTGCAGCTGAAGGACTTAATATCATGTTGAAAAGAGCAAAAGATATGGGAGTTATTAAAGAAGTGGATGTGGGTCATAGAGGTTTTAATGTATCCCACCTCTAATATGCAGATGATACCATAATCCTGTGTGATGCGGAATGGTCTGAAGTTGTTGCTATTAAAAGAATTTTAAGATGCTTTGAATTTGTGTCAGGGCTGAAAATAAATTTTCACAAAAAGTTTGGTATGTGGGGTGGGTGTGGAGGAGGATTTGGTGGAGGATTTTGTGTCTAAACTTAACTGCATAAGTCATAAGTTGCCTTTCAAATATCTTGTATTACCACTTGGTGCCAATCCGAGCAGGAAACTATCTTGGAACCAGTCATTGACAATTTTTAAAAAAAAGCTCTCATGATGAAAAAGAAGATTGCTGTCATTTGCAAGTAGAGTGGTCCTCATTAAATCTGTTCTGTCCTCACTACCCATTTATTATATGTCCTTATTTAAGATTCCTGAAAGTGTGGCTAAGGAACTTGATAGGCTGTAAGGAAATTTCCTCTAGGGAGGTATAGAAATTAGGAAGAAAATACACTTAGTCAATTGGAAAGAGATTATAATGAATAAACAAAAAAGGGGTCTTCGGATTAGGGACATTAGACTTACAAATCAATGTATGTTACTCAAATGGTGGTGGAGGTATGTTGTGGAAGATGATGCACTTTGGAAATCAATTGTGTGTAGCAAGTATAGATCCATAGATGGGAGGTAGCTGCCACCAGCTACTGCAGCAGGAGTCACTTCACAGATTTGGAGGGACATTCTAGTTGTGGCACAAGCTAACCCAAGACTTTTTACATTCTTTATGGAAAATTTGGAACTCAGAGTTGGGAATGGCAAAAGAGTACAGTTCTGGGTTGATAATTGGTTGGAGGAGTCTAGTTAGCGTACTTAATTTCCTAGATTGTTTCAATCGAGTACAGAGAAGGAGGTGTCATTGAATGTGCTGATCTCAAGATAGGTAAGCTCAAATAGGTAGTGTTTTAATTTTAGAAGAACACTTCATGCTTGGGAGGAAAAAGAAGTGATAAGGCTTACTGACTAGTTGGGTGTTGGACCAAGGTTAAGTATGGATTTAGAGGACCATGTGAGATAGAAGGCTGCTCAAGTAGGGGGTTTCAAGGTAAACAATGTTTACAAATTGGGTGATCTAGAATCTGGGCCCATTTTGACAGTAGCTGGTTTAATTTGGAATAATTTTTCTGTCATGCCCTAAAATTTGGACAATTAAATATTAAATTAAAACTAAATCCCAATTAGTATTCCATCATCCAAATCCTAGGAGTAAAACAAAAACTAAACGCCAACCAAACCATCCATCATAATTTTATAACTAACCAATACATCCAACAATAAAATAACAATACATAGCCAAAATAACTTAAATAATGTACGGTTACAAATCATGCCAAATTATCCCAATACTAAAGTCATAAAAAAATAATAAATACATAAACTAATATCAACCCTAAGCTCAAGAAAACAAAAGAAATCCAACAGACATGTCCAATAACTATAGTTATTCCACGTCACCACCGTAGCCCCAACTAATCCTGCAAAGGAAGCTCAGTTGTGCTTAAACAAAACGCACCTGAGTTGCCAAGAGACAAAACGGGTCAGTATACAGGTATACTGCTA